TGACCTCTTTGTATGAAGTGGGGATTGGACCACTTGGGTCCATCACAAGGGACAGCCATTTTGAGTGAGCGATCTATGACTTGGTGTAAATGTTAAACTGACAAATGATTTAAGCTCATTGTTTGTTGTCCAGGCTTCTCTTCCAGTGTAGGTACTCTGGTAATTCTGTGGAAGCTCTGGTTGTGGAGGTCAACACTGTTCCTCCACCTCCACCAGTAGCTGCCCCTGGACCCCTCAGGGTGGAGCTTAGACTGGCCAATGGTCAATGTTTCACCAAAGGGTGTGCAGAAGGTAAGTGCTTGTCCCATGTGTTCTCAAAGTCTTAAGACCCCAGGTTGCAGCAGTTTCTGGTTAAACACCAGTGTTCCTCAGGGGATGAGGCCTACGCGTCCTACTACAGTGATTCTGATTATCCTGTCACAAAAGTCCTGCGAGAGCCAGTGTATGTTGAGGTGCGCATTTTGGAGAGGACTGACCCCAACCTTGTCCTGATGCTGGGACGCTGCTGGACAACTTCAACCCCCAGTCCACTCAGTCTGCCCCAGTGGGACCTTCTGGTTGATGGGTGAGTGTAATGGCAATCTCTATCAAGTTAGTCCATGAGTCCTTTTCTGAGGGTTTCATTCCCTTTCAGATGCCCTTACCAGGATGATCGTTACCTGACCACGTTGGTGCCAGTGTTTGGATCATCTGGTCTTCAGTTCCCAACCCACTACAAGCGCTTTATTGTGAAGATGTTCACGTTTGTAGATCCGGCATCACTGGCTCCTCTGCAGGAAACTGTATGCCACCCCCACACACACTACTTAAACATTTAACTTTACTCCTTAATGATTCTATGACTTGATCCTCTTTCTTCCCTGTCAGATCTTTATCCACTGTAGTACAAAGGTGTGCCATCCATCTTCTGGCTCCTGTGAGCAAAGCTGCACCAGGAAACGTGAGTTCTTGCTCCAACTTGACTAGAGGAACTGAGAATTAAGTGGCCTTCACACTTCTAACATTTCTCTTACAGGCAGAGACACTCCTGTCAAGACCATCTCTAGTGAGCAGACTGTGGTTTCTAGTGGAGAAGTTACTGTGGTAATTTAAGTCTAGTGGTTTCAATAAACTTTGGGATACACAAAGATCATTTGTCTTGACTTTTCAGAGTCTGATATTATATGCCTGTTCCCAGGTTGCTTGTGCCACACTATTAAACCAAGGTTCCACTATGTTTTTGTAAGGTTATGCTTCTACACAAGCCATAACTTTCATGATTTAACCTGGGGCACCAGGTAAGGTACCAAATTAAGGGTCATGATTAATGTCTGCCTCGTTAACTTTGCCTTGACCATCAGGTCAAACCCTACAAAGGCATAGAGCAGGCTGCCTACTGTCACAAGTAAACTAATGTGGTGATATCAAATATGATACCAATGTGATTGTGTATTTAGCTGGATTGAAAGACAGCTGATTAAGGACTGTACAGTAAGTGTAACATTCAGAAAAGACCAGTAAATGTATCTGAACAGCTTGTTTACTTTTGGTGGACCAGTTCAAAAAGTCATAAAAAAATTCCCACCACTCTTTGAGTTCAGTCACTTAAAGTAATTGCACACGTTCTCAAAACCACACAATTTAAGTGATCATTGCTGTAGGTAGCACAAAGGCCACAGGATGAGCCACTTTTCACTCAATCTGGAGAAATAAATCTAAACCCATGCCAAACTGAAGTCTCTAGGTTTACAGATGCCACAACTGCATTTGTATGATGTCATGCTTTCTGGTTGCTGTGGTTCCAGCTCTATCCCAAGGCCTTTTTTTCTATCTAAAATAAAGCTTTCTGGTTAAGGTTGCCAGCCCCTATGAGCGGAGTACCAGAAAATGTGCACTTGCTATCTGTGACCTCACATCCTGGTTATACTGACCCCTTGGTGTGGTTTAAACAAGCATGTGGCCTACCGCTGGCCCAAAACCGTTTATGAAAGTGGAGAGAGGAACATGAAACCAAGTCCAGGGTTGAAGAATACAGGAGAGAAAATGACCAGAAGCGTTGTGCATTAACACATCAATTCAGCTGGCATGATTATAATTACATCTTCCAAACTCAATTAAATTTACAATTAGAACTGGTGGCTGAGAGATGATCATTTATGTCAACCTCATATCATCCTACCTCAAGGGGATGAATGAAACATAAATACAATAATGTGCTGTGCCATAATTATATTGTTACAAAACTACATTTAAAGGTCGGCTTGCAGCATTTCAAAGTAATATAAGAACTGATTTCGCCAACCGGTCTCGCTGATAACTCAAAACCCAGACGTCAAAACGTTGGCCAGGTCATCCCGGGAGGCTGTGTAAATGTGTGTGTGTGTGTTTCACAACCTGTTATTTCACAGATGAATGCTACAGACATCTCATCTTAGGGTACTTACCTAGGCATCTGACCACACCGACCACAGTTTTGTGTCTGCCCTACTACTGTGTCCAATGAATATCAAGTAGGCCCCTGCTACAGCACTCGAAAAAGAAAAATATTACATGAAACGCTTCGACAAAAATTCTCACTTTTTTAACTACCAGTATGGAAACACTGATACTATCTACAGCACACACACATATAAATATATTCCAGCTGTGCTCTTTAGATATCATTATCCAGATCGGCCAATGAAAAAAACACATCTTTTGACTAATAAATAAGTGTCTGGATGGCAAAACAGTGAAAGGCATAATTTAGACATAAAAGCACTGCATTACAGGAGAGTTACTTCCCAATATCAGGTCAAAGGGTTTGGATATTTTTAAGGTTTTGTATAAAGTGTTGCTATCCAAATGATACAGCACATCCTTGACCCTCTGTAAAGCTGAACAAGCATTGCTCTGCTGAGAGCAAGGGGGGTCGATTAAAATCTGTGCCTCTGACTTCAATCTCAATGTTCAGTGATAATTCTCACAGGCCAAAATTTACAACAAACTATTTTGAAGATTTCGAGAGCAGTGGCTTGTCACTAATGGGTCTGTTTTGATTGGGTCATGGACAATTGGGGGAAAGGAGCTAAATGCATCTAATAAAATATAAGCATATAATAATAATAATCATCATGCATTAGAATTGGGTTGTTTCCGCCTCAGTTGACTGAAAAATATGATTCATAATAATGAGAAGCTTTCTTATAATTATCACTTAGCACTTATCATTTTTTTCATTAAAATAATTTAGCATATGATAATCTCATTGCATTGAGAAAATAATGAGAAACCTCATTATTATTATTATTATTAGTTGTTGTCATAAAATTCAAAATAATATGAAAAAAATAATAATAATTATGAATTAGTAACAATGACTTGAAATCTCATAATGGGAGACTTTCTCATGATAAGTTAATAATAATAAGGGGGTGGGGGAGTTAATGAAAAAAGTCACATTTACCAAATTCTACATTATTAATGTTCATTCTACATTCTATATAATAGGAAAGCTTCTTATTATTATGAAACATTAACTTCATTATTATGAGAAAATGTATTTTTATTATGAGATGTTAAGTATTATGAGAAATTTTCTGAATATAATGAGACGCTCATTATTATGGGACATTAACTGATCATTATTATAAGAAAAATTCTAAATATAATGAGATGCTAAATCACAATTATAAAGTCTTCCATAGTCCACAGAAAATTTAAAGGGAAGAAAAAAAAAACATTGCTAGTGTTTCATTCTAATTTCTAGAATACTAGTTGGAAAGCATGAGATTAGATTGATTTTATAGTATTTAAAAAAAAAAAGTGACCTGACATGTGGCCAAGTATGGTGACCCATACTTGGAATTAGTGCTCTGCATTTAACCCATCCAAAGTGCACCTTTGGGTTACGAGTACGACTCTCTAACCATTAGGCCACAACTTCCCCCAGTGGTGTTAAAAACTAGTGCTTTGCTCATTTTTAACAGTAAGAAGCGAAAATACTGTCAGCAAGGGGTCCCTTTCATGTGATCATCATATTTGAGGGTTTCTTGGGATCAAATAGTTCTAAACCCCTTTCTCTAGAAGACATTTACTGATGGTAGGTCTTATAAAAAACAACATGTCAAAGGAAAAGAATGCCACGCTCACATCCTAAACCAGTAATCTTAAAAAAGCTAAACTGTTTACAATTATGGGTCTGTAACTAAACAGAAAGGACAAGCCACTCTACTGGCATCATTCATGACAGTGTGATTGTGAGGTTCAGATACAGGCCTATTGGGAAAATAGTAATGCCATGATGTATTTCAGAACCGTGGCACACCCACAAAGACCGGATCACAGTCTGATAACACAAACTAAACTGAAGGATAACGGAAAGATAACCCTTCAGTGTCAACAAAGAAGCTCAATTTGGGTAAATGTAGCAAGAAGTTTACAAACACTAAATAGTATATGGCATGCAGTGCAGTGACGTTATAAACGTGACGATGACGTAAGATCACCACCAGGACGCGCTACTGTAGCGATGGACACGCCCCCTTTCCAGAAACACACCAGCTCCGCTTCCATAGCAACAAACCAACAACTTTCACACGCGAGTCTGAGCAGTTGTGAAACTCTAACAACACCACTTCTTAATTATGTTACATTTGGATGCAATGTGATACATAACATATGCAAAGGTTCACGCTCACGTGAAAATACGTACACAAACAGGTGTAACCTTACAGATATTCACCATAGTATCCATAATTCCTGCCATAATCGCATAATGTATACGTTATTATTACAATAAAAGTGTGATAACGTGTTGAAAAAAAGAGAAAAACTTAAACTAAACCTAGTTGTATATATTTAACAACATTTAAATAAATAAATAAAGTCAAAATATTTCTGGAAGCTTCATTAACTTTCATGTAAATGCTTTTTACAGTAGCAATAACAACTGTAGTAAGTAACGTTATGCCATTTTGTTGAAAACCGGTCAAATGTTGGCACTTTAAATGAACTTACGTTTAAATGAATGTAAAACTAACCTTGTTTGACACACTTAAGGCGGACAGGGTCTTTGCAGTGTCTGACCACAGCCCACACATCCCTGATGGTCAGTCCAGCCACTGGAGTATCATTGACCTCCAGAAGTAGCTCGTCCTGGTGCAGTTTGCCCCTGTCCGGTTTCACGTCTCCAAGAACGGGGAACTGTCCGTTCTCCGCGCCTCCCTGCAGCTCGAACCCAAGATCACCACTCGGACCCCTGGATAACACGACCTCGTGGACTCTGTTAGTCCAGTGACTTTTCTTCTTCAGGCTTTTGGACATGTTTGGAGTTGTTAATGTGACAGGAGAGTAGCCATGAAAGCGCGCAACCCGTTCAGTCGGCTCAGTAAAGTTGCACGATCAGTGTCTGTGGATGGTAAGAGTCTCCATATCAGCAGCAGATCCACGGCAGCCTCTTAAAACTGCTACACTCACTGTAACAGTGATGTCCGATTCGCGCAGGAGCCGTTCTTTTGAACCGGTTCTTTTTTATGATTCTTCTGAACCAATTCGCAAGCGTTTGTGAACCACTCGGCTGTAAGGTGAACTATGGGCGTAAAATTACGACATTATGGAAGCGTAAATACCGCAAAAAATCTGACACCAGTAAAGTAAAGTAAACAAATGTGGTAAACCTTTAATTACAGAATCATTAAAGAAGAATTTCATTAAACACGGGTTTTCACTACAAAAATAGGCTAAACAAAATGCTGAGCGAAGACACATTTAAATGATGACTACAATTCGGTAAATATTTTTAAGACGGTTCACTGATACTTTCTACACTTATGCCACAACTGGATGTTTGCGAACTTATAGACAACAAATCAAATGAATCAAATTAGTAGAACCGTTCCCACGAATCGATTCGTTTACATGATTCGGACTTCCTAACGCTGCACTTGTAAGCGAGTTCAAAGTGCTCGGGAAACTGAGCCGGATGTGATGTGGAAGGAGGAGAGAACAGACGCTTCCCGCTGGAGAAAAGAAAAGAAAAGAAAAGAAAAAAAAGAAAAGAAAAGAAAAGAAAAGAAAAGAAAAGA